TCAGAAGAATCATCAGCTACAGTAGAAACTTACACTGGAAGAAAGCCCTTGCACACTTACTACTCAGCCACAGAGAGGTGAAGCTTACAAGCAGGATTGTAAATAAGAGCTCCTTTGCCTCTCTTATCTACATGCAGGAGATGTGTGATCACAACCCACCTATCACCTTCAGACGCACAGTCTCTGACACCTTGTCTGACTTCATTGTCACTGTGCCAGCATCCTCAGGCTTGACCTGCTTCATCGTCAGCGTGTAGCAATTGCCCACGTTCCTGATGTCATTGAAATTGTTGGTGTAAAGGAGGGTGCCGTTGAGGAACCATTCCACGTCCTCATCGTCATGCGACAGCTCACAGGAGAAGACAGCAGAACTCTCTTCTTCTATTTCCACATCCTGCAGGTGTTTGAGTACTTCTACGTTGCGGGCTGTTGGAAACCAAGGTGCACCACCAAATCATTACTGTCACCACACATAGATTTCATAGTGTTTAGGGATTATCAGATGGTTTGGTCTGGTCTCCTGTACACCATAGGTCACTACATTACACTTACTTGGTTCTGCATCTGGTCCAACACAAAAGATCCATTGAAAAGAATATATTGTCTAGAACCCCCAATTCTCCTTTTAAACATAAAATTGTTTTGCTTTTTTTCTTTTTAATTGAAAAATAACTAATTCCTTCTAAAATGATAATGGCATTACAGTGATGCCCAAAGATGCCACAGAGCTCCAGTCCCTGTGTGCTTGTCACTGCACACACACATACACTTAAGAACTAAATTGTCCCTGACTCACTGCCAGGGAAACACAGGCTTGCTGCTTGTCCACAGGCAGCAAGTATAAAGAGATTAAGAAATTGCTCACATTTAGGGAGCAACAGGAATTAAATTCTTTTATTTCCCAGTCCTTGGCCAGAGGTTTATCTCTGCAGCTTCTCCACTCATGAAATACTGTTTCTCAAGGCCTAGATAACTCAGGGGAGGGTTTGGGCGTATTAAATAATTTTGGTCACTTGGATGAACCTCTGCAAGGCCAAACTGTTACCTAGAGCTGCTCCCTGGACTTCTGGATGTGATTCTGTGGCTCATCTCCAAGTCTTGCTCAAAGTGACGCAGTGATCATCTTTTCCTACGGTTTTGCCAGAGATGAAGAACTGGCTAAAAACCGAGTGCCGTACTCGGATGAGGTAGAACATCATTATGAATAAGCAACACACAGCAGACATAAAAGCTGACACAGTGGTCAGGAAATTAAAATCACAACCGAGATTACCAGAATCAGAGGCCTGTAGCAGTTTAACATAAAGGACACTTTTAGCTAGAAGTGCTACAGTTCTAGTTCCTCGGATGAAACAGAAAATAATGTGCCTTGAGAAGGACTCATGAATTTCTGCCTTACCCAAATGGTGCCCTTCCACATGCACTACCTACTTCATGGCAAGTGCTTGGATTTCAGCATCATGGAATGTCAGCACAGTGTAAAATACAGTCAGTTCACTGAAGATACTGCATTTATATAAAATTAGCAGAAGATAATTGTGGGAATCTACCTCTACTCGAGAAACCCAGAGTGAACTGGGTGAACTGAACCATAAAGATATCATAGAATCATAGACTGGGTTGGGTTGGAAGGGACCTTTAAAGGCCATCTAGTCCAATCCCCCTGCAGTGAGCAGGGACATCTTTAGCTGGATCAGGGTGCTCAGAGCCCCCTCCAATCTGACGTTGAATGTCTCCAGGGATGGGGCTTCCACCACCTCTCCGGGCAGCCTGTGCTAGTGTCTCACCACCCTCATCTGTAAAAAACTTCTCCCTTATTTCTATGTAACAGGCAAGCCTCCCTGCTGCAAACCGCTTGTACCTTCAACAGTCAGCGTGGCTTCGGTCTCTGCATTTCCAGCCCTGCACTTGTACACGCCGGCATCTTCGGGCTTCACCTTCAAAATCTTGAGCTCTGCCGAATGCTGCTCCCGCTTGATTTTGTACTTCTCAGAGGGCTCAATAGGTGTGTGGCCCTTGAACCACTTCACAACCTTTGGAGAAGGCTTGAAGTCGCAGGACAGGATGACTGAATGGCGCTCCAGAGCTGTCTTGTCCTCCATCTTCCTGGTGATCTGAATGTGGTAATCTGGAAAGCAGGGTGGGGAAAGAAGGGATCAATCTGAAGAAGACGAAAGTTTTTCATCTGTATTTCATGCCAATTAATTTCATGTATGTCACTCACAACTGTTTTGTGAATTGCTCAGATGATGCTACAGGTTTCTGTTACAGAGCTGATATTCTTTGAAGCTGAAACAACATGATGATCTATAGGAAGTGCTGGTTTCTATAGTACTGTATATTAACTAGCAAATGCATGGTTCAGTGCTTACTGAATTGCTCTCTAACTGAAGTTTTATTTAAGTAAGAGCAAATTAAAGACAAAACAAGGACTTCGGGATGTGATTGGAGATATTTACTGTGGTGACAGCATAAGATAAAAAGCCTTGAAGCTTTGTCCCAGATCAAGTCAATGACAAAACTGATTAAGTAAATGAGCTATCAAATTTGTCTAGTTCAGAAATGGGACAAAATAAACTCTCTTGGCAAATTCCATTTGTTTTGTCCTCTTTGGTAAAGTCAAGAAGAAAAAAAAAAAAACCCAACAACAAACCAACCCAACAACAAACAAACCCAGTCTTAGCTCAGTACATTTGAATACTAGGTTTGAACCCCAGGCACATCAAACTCATTTAATCAGATCCCTTCCTAAGACATTGCTGTCTCATTTCGTGCATCCAACATTGTGCCCAAAAAGTTGTAATTGGGAACTAAACAGATCTTCCAGGTACACATGCATTTCCCAGAGCCCAGCCAGTAGAGCCTGCACATTAGACAGTGTCTCTGAAAAAATTGCTTTCCAAGCATTGTGACAGGGAGGATCTCTCGTGACGTAATCAAGCCAGGACATAGCACGTTACCTCTGACAAGCAGATTTGCTGTGGATTTCGATTTGCCAATGGAGAATTGAATGGTGCCTGTCATATCAGCACTGGTTTTCAGTATTGTCAGCCTGTGGATGGTGCCTTCTTGATGCATGATAATGTTTCTGCCAGCCTGTAAGACTTCGCCGCGTAGAGACCATTTGGGGGGTTTCACGGATGGAATGGATATCTCACATTCAAACTTGGCTTCCTCAGGCTCAGTCACATCTTCATCACACAACTTCTTTACAATATTAATGGATTGCTCTGGTTGAAGAATGGAATGGGAAAGCAGGGGTTTAGGAGTCATAAAAGAACTCTTTCATTATCATCCTGTCATCTTTACTGCACTCGAATACTGCGTTTATTGGCTCAAAATATCTTAAAATGTTGTTCTCTTTATTGCATAAAAATAAATATATATCGCTGGTCGCAGGTCAGACAGTGCGACTGTGACACTACCTCAAGAGATTCCAGATCTCCTAATTCCCAGTACTACTTCTAAAGCCACCTTCCTACTCTGATATTGAACACTTAGCATTATATAAAATGAAATGCAGGTATTGATAGTAGGAAAGACTTTGGCTAGCTACAGCAAAACCTTTCTCCAGTACATCTGATGAAATACTCTGGGACAGGAATTTCCTAAGGAGAATGAACCATATATTTATTTTCTAGGATGATCCTGTCCTTATAATCCTAAAAGGAAGCAATGGACTTCAGAAGAAATCAGCACTGAATTAAAACAGTTTTCAAGTGGTATTATGTTTTCAAAGTAAATGACAAGGGCTTTTGGAATCAGCCGATCCTCCTGAAAGGGAAAAAGGGGTTTACTACCTTCAACAAAGAAATTAGCACTGCTTTTGTCATCAAAGGCGTCACAAGTGTACGTGTCTTCATCTTCATAATCTGCATCGTTGATGATGAGTTTGCGATAGACACCGTCGCTTACAATTTCATATTTGTCACTAGGGTGAATTTCGACATCCTTTTTGTACCACTTAACTTCAGCATTGGCACGAGACACCTGGCACTCCAGGAATCCACGATGTTTTTCAAGAGCAATCTTATCTCGCAAAGGCTTCACAATTTTTACAGGCAGCTCTAAGAGGTGTAAAAAAGTGACAGAATAATCAGTAAAGTTTCCATGAAAGGTGCCAACGAAAAACTCATTAAAAACTTTCTTCACAGTGAAAGTGAGGGAAGTTGGTTGGCTTATAACATGAGAGAGCTTAAGCAGTATTGGCAGGAAAAGCATAATTACCTTTTACAGTAAGCTGGGCACGAGATTCTGCCTTTTCTGCCACAAATTTGATCTCTGCTGCATCTTCAACTTGGACGCGCGTGTAAGTCAGCGAGTAGGTCTTTCCTGATAACAGACACACAACCATACATAGCTTCCCCTGAGCAAACAGCTTCATTCTCCAAGCCACGCTGCCAGGTTGAGCATCGCTCATCTGGTTTCAGTGCATCACCACCTGCTCTCATGGCAGCAAGGCCAACCATTCCCCTACGTCTATGTCCCTGTATCAAAGGATAACATAACCTCAGCTCCTCCAAGGACTGACTGCATGTGGTCCCCACCGTCTGGAAAGTACTTGAAACAGAAAGATCCCACCCACTGTCAGATGATACAAATTCCTACCCACTGCTGGCAGCATGGGATGGTGGGATGACACCAAATTTGCCGTATTAAAGTTCCCACCATGTCACTCTCCCAGCCTAGCTGCAGCCCCAAAACTGAAGGGGAACTCTCTGCCAAACCTTCTTAACTGGATTTTGAAGGTCAGACCCTTCTGCCTGGTCTCCAATACCACCACTACTCCAACCCATCCCTGTTGAAGAATGAGATCCCCCTTTTTCACCCTACCATCTTGACGCATTCTAATATTGTCGGCAGCCTTCAGCTTGTTGTCGTTTTTGTACCATTGGGTTTGCACCTCATCGTGTGAAATCTCACAGACAAAAGATGCACTCTCATATTCATTTACTTCCACATCTTCCAGGGGTTTAACAATCTTGATGTCTCGGGCTGTGAAATCATAGAGAAAAATATTTATTTGGGGTTTCTCCATACCTGAGTGCGGTGTGTTTACCTTCTGCATACCTGCATAGAAAAAAATGGGATTGTGTTTTATTCTAGACCAGCCTCCCTGCCGGGGTAGTGTCTCTCTTCAACAAAGTAAATACATTCTATGCTTGAACCTACAGGTAGAATTACCAGCTCCAGTAGAGCTCACTGCAAGAGGATGTTATGGATGCCAGAACTTTGTATAGGTTTTAAAAGAAATTAAACTTGTTCATGAAAGAAAATCTGCCAAGGAAAACTAAACACAAGCATGCAGTCTCTTGCGTCATTATAAACCTATCTCATTCACATGCTTCCCTCCATTCTCTCCTCTTACTCCCTGCTTGTGTGCTTGGACTGTATCAGCCACAGGGACCTCAGCCACATATTTTACCTAGGAGATACCTTTACCTCAGTCCCCTGAACTCAGTGTAATCCTCTTTATCTCTGCAGCTTTGCACTAACTTACATCAGAACTGACCCATAATCCTGTGCTACTGCAGCTCTTTTCTTTTGAAAGGAAATCCACCTTGGATCAGCCTCAGGACCAGAGCTGAGACACAAACCAGCCAGCTTTCAAATAGCAACCCACCCCAATCACAAAGACAGGGAGAAAAGGGGAGCTCAATGGAAGTGGACAGATGTTCACGAAGATACTGCTGAACACAAGCGGCCACATGAGGACAGCATCTAGTAAGAAATAAGAAAGAGCTGATTGGTTTTTCAGATGCCCCTCTGGAAAATAACATCTGTCAGGGTGAAGACACCTGTCCGATCAGTAACTGGCCTTCAGCACCAGCTTATCTCTGGTGCTTCAGAACCTGGTGACAAAACACATCTGGTGTTGGACTGCTTGCACAGCGCAACACACGGAGGGAAAAACTGCCTCGAGCACAAAGGAGAGATGCAGTCAGAAAGAGTGGCGCTTTCCTTGGCATTTACAACGTAAAAAGCAGGGCAATTCTTGAGACCATACCCAGGGCTTGGCCAGTCCCTATTCAGGCAAAGTCCTTCTGTGACCACAGCCAAAGCTAAACCAAACCATGTCGGCACCAGCCGTTCAATCCCTGCTTTGTGCCAGGCTGTCGGGTATTTGCTAACTTGCCAACCTAGAAACACCATTCAGATTCCAGAGACCAGAAATTACTGATGATAAATGGAAAACTAAGTTAGTACCTCTTCCAAAAATATTCTGTAAGGATAGAACAAGCACAGGATAGCTCTGCCAGCACTGTCTTACTAGGAAGGGAAAGTTATCCAAAATGAGTAATTGTGAAATACACAGACTGTCCACGAAGCATTTCTTGCTGCGTAGTCAAAAATACTGCAGTAAATGTAATTTCATAGTTCAGTGAAACATACCGTGAACCTTTAGGGTAGCTGATGTCTTGTCTTCAGCTGCTTCACATGTATAGGTTCCCTGGTCTTCATATTCACACTTGTGAATAATGAGGCTTCTCTTATTTCCCTGAGAAATAATCCCCACCTTTTTATTTTGCCGGAGCTCCTTCCCATCCTAGAAAGGAAAAACCAGATCACCAACCAGATCACCATCAACTCTTCTACATCTGCAGTGAGCAAAACGAACATTCAGATCCGTGTTTAAGGCACCTGTCTCATCGGACTTAATGGAACTGCGCTTACTGGAACATATGCTGAAGCTTAAGCACAGTGCAAAGTTTTCAAGACTAATTGGCTGAAGAACTTTGTGTAACTTTTGGTTGACCTTAGACACCTAGCTGAAGGCTTAAGGCACTGTACAGGGCTGACAATAAGCCCCTTCAGACTCTACCTTGAAGAAATGCTGTTATCCCCATTGAAGGGAAGTATCAGCTGAGCCCCAAGGAAGGTACATGAAATGCCTGAGCTGATCCCCAAAACTGAAGCTTCACCTTAAATCACGGTTCTCATTGAGGCTAGAAGTCCTGGGTGAGAACTGCTAGGCATGAAGTAAAGCACAAGACTGCGTTGCTATCAACAGCATCGCTCACGTTCTGTGCAAGGATAGAAAAGTTTAACTTTCAACCCAGGAAATAAATAACAGAAAGATGAACAGGGCAAGTAAATGAACATAAGAACAAGAGAAAAATGCTGAGAGCTGTATAGTGAAGGCTACATCCCCTGGAAGTGAAATTAAAGTTCTCTTTTCCTTCCAGAAAAGTCAGAAATTTAAATACCCCTATCCGTTAAGTGTTGTACCTTGAACCACTTAACATCCACGTTGGGCTTGGACAGCTCACACTCGAATGTGACCTTGTCCTTCTGAGTTGCACTGACGTCTACCAAAGGTTTGCTAATTTTCGCAGGCAGTTCTGCAAAAAAAAAAAAAAAAGTTAAGAGTTAAGTCTCCAGGACCATCAGGCATGAGCATAATGAATAGGCAGAGCCTAGCTTCCATGCTAAATAAAACTTGTGACAACAAAATTGGATTGTTTTGAGTACATTGTGGACAATGATGTTGCAACAATCCTGGTGACATTAGAAATCTACGCTATTGATGATGGTCCAGTATTTAATATCTTCTGCAGTTACAAGGAAAGCTTGTTGCCTTCTTAAAAACTCACTCTCTGAGTCAGGAGAAGACAACCATGTCCCACACCAACTGGGGTCTGAGATGTTCAGGTCTGTGTACCTGTCACAGTGAGCTTCCCTGACGAATGAATGCCATCTGCTTTGAAGGAGATGAGTCCTGCATCTTCAAGAGTCACCAAAGAAAGAGTCAGTGAATGTTTCTTTCCCACGACGCCGATACTGATCTTCGGTGACGGCTTCAGCCGAACACCATCCTTCTGCCAGATCCCTTCCACGTCCTCATGCGACACCTCCACCTCGAAGGTGACGGTCCCTTTCTCCGAGACTTCGAGGGCCTGAAGACCTTTCACCAGCTTGATCTGCCTCACTGAAAAAACAACAAGGACAAGTTGGAGATCTCACACCGACAGCTGTGAAACAGCCTGAGGACTTCCAAAACAGATTATTTCCCTACTCCTCGTGCAGGTAACTGACAATTAATTGGTGTCTGCCAATAAAAACAACCACCTTTGCAGGAAATAAAACCTGTCCACGAGCATACTGCTAGCATGGCTGCTGTTCTGAAAACGGATGCCTTCAGCTGGGACAAACAAGTCAGCCAAACAGTGCAGAAAAAGGGCAAACTGACCCTTTTTCTAGCAAGACCCACCACGCTCACTGTCTATGCCAGAAATAAGCTCTGCAGTTGTACA